TGCATGACACCTATGTGCCACCAGACTTGTATTTCAGAGGATCCCTCTTCACTACATTTGCTCACTAGCGGCACTGAAGTACCATTTCTGCATCCATCACATGACAGAACTAGTGCTGTCTTTTACACAGTGAGCACTACCCCTGTGCAGGACTGCAGCCACAACAGTTCAGCCTTTGTTGGCCTGAACGATGTCGTAGAATCATAGAATCATTTAGGCTGAAAAAGACCTCTCAGATCACCTAGATCAACTGCCAGCCCATCCCCACCATGTCCACTAACCATGTCCCTCAGTGCCACATCTACACTGCCCTTGAACACCTCCAGGGACGGTGACTCCACCACCTCCCCAGGGAGCCTGTGCCAGTGCCTCACCACTGTCCCTGAGAAGACATTTTTTCCTGTCTCCAACCTGAATTCTGAGCAAAAGAAGTAACCTTCTAACAGGCAAGAATTGGAATAACTCAGCTCTAGGGAGAGCCGAAACAATATACCAAGTCTTTTTAAATCACAGTGCAGGTTAATTTTGCTTCCAGGAAGCAGATGAAACATGCATATATCTCAACTAATTTCAAGGGAACTTCTGCTGAGTAATTCTTCCTCTAATCAGTTTGCAGGAAAACAGCTCAATGGAGCCTCCCATGTCAAATAATAGGGTGATCTCATCAAAACGCACTTTCTGTTTTTCACAGAAAAAGAAATTGAGAAGATCACTCTCATTTTTGTTTGTTTGGGTTTGGTTGTGTTTTTTTTGTTTGTTTGTTTGTTGGTTTTTTTTTTTTTTCTGAAACACATTTATTGTGTTTTTGGCAGTGCAGGAAACTAACCAGAAAGGCAGGTCAAATGGCTCAGCTGGTAGTCCCTGGTTTCTGCTTTTCACTTGTCACTTCCCCATTAGAAGGCCTTTACTCATTTTAAAAAATGAAGCATAAGACCTATTTTAAATGGGAGAACACAGAAGTTTGTGCTGTTCTTTCTCAAAGAAACTGCCAACAGGTGCTGGGGCTGGGAGAATAGAAGAATCATCAGGTGATCTGAGCACCCTGAAATGAGAGGTGCAACCTGCTTTCCAGCTCATTGGAGGGAAACACAAGAGTCAGACAAAAAGGCAGTGGAAAGGGCAACACTATGCAAATATCCTTGAACCAGCCAGCCTCAAGCTTTAGTGTGCTATGTCCAAAATAGTGCCACTAGTGTATGGGCTAGAGGCTGTGAGGTCTGAGCCCTGTCTTCCCAGTGTGGGAGCCCATTTTAACACACAATGCCCAGGTTAAAACCCCGAGTTCAGCCTGATCTTTCTCTTCTGCACCCGAGTGAAACACCAGTTTCTTGCCCTCAAGCAAAGGTTCACCAGCAGCCAAGTGCTGCCAGTGGTACTGACTCAGCAGACCTGTGGGAACAGCTCCACACACCCACATGAGGAGATGGCAGCCTTTGGTCAGATGCCAAACCCCATCCCGCCTGTCCTCCGCTCTCTACAGAGCGGGCAAGCAGCCCCTCTCACGAGCCAGCAGCCATCACCTCCAGCCCTGGTGCAGCAGCATGAGCTGTGGGGGAGGGTTTATGCTCCTGGTCAAGGCTTTACGGTCCTGCTTGCTGAAGGAAAGAGCCCAGCTGAAGGCAAAACTTTGCAGATGGAGCACCAGGACCTCTACCATAGGTGGAGGGCCAAAACTACAATTTTTTGAGGGAGATGCCTTGCAGCAGAAAGCAGTCTCAAGGTGAATGACAGGAAAGCCTGAGAACAAGTCTGTCAAGGAAATAGAAACTGTTCTTCATGCACCTTGCCAAAAGGGAAAATAGGAGGTAAAAGCCTTTCTTGTGTAAGATATGAAGAAAAACTGATGGCTCCAAAAAGGAGTCCCCAGCACGCACTGTCCAGAGGTAGCTGCCATCCCAGTGCAGCGTAGGGAGCCCAGGCTTCCAGAGGTATGTCGTGTCTGCTTAGTGGCTAAGGCAAGTTAGATAGAAGCAGGAGCTGACAGAGATGCTCTAACTCCCTGGTTTGGGCTGTCCCTTCACATTACAGATGTCTATCTTTTTTCCCTGGCACTGCTGCCTTTACTGCTCCAGGATCTGCTGTCTCTGGCACCCTGCTACACGTGTTTCTCCTCCCTGCCCAGTTAGGCAATCAGTGAAGCTCTTGTTAGAGAGAGAATACAGCTATTGTCCACCAAATTACACAGACATACCAGATGCAATAACTAAATATTTTGCAAGACCTGATCCTGTTTTTATGTCAATCTGGTTTACATAAGTACACTTTTCACTTCCTCAGAAAGCCAGTAGGATTTTTGGAAAGGATTCCTCAGGTCAGGAACAGATTTGACTTCATACAAATTAGCAGCTCTCACAGCTTACACTGCAGGCACCCAGAGAAGGATGTGGGGTCCCTCAACAACCCTACAAATGCCATCTCCAACAGAAATGGCTCAGGGATGAGCTTGGTTTCCCACTGGGCTCCCCTCTTCCCATCCTGTCCCTTGTTGATGTCAGCTCCCTCTCGTTCCTCCTCCTTCTCTGCAATGTGCTCGGGCACAGACCCATGGCTCACACACACATTAAAGCCTCTGGAAGACCTGACAAGGAGAATCAGCCCTGACTGCTATTTCAAGGCAGATCTGTATCTGAAGCAGTGGAAGCATCTGGAAATGGTTCATTCCAGCCTCTCCACTGGCTACACTTGCAGTTGTAGAAAGCCATGTTTTAAGAGGAAAGTTTTTCCTCAAGCTGGAAATTCATTCGGGCTGTTAAGCTAGTTAAGACAACAGCAATCTGCTTCGGCCACCCCAGCCTCTCCCTCATGCTGTCTGAAGAGGACTGAGGAATTCATTTAAATTAAATTAATGAGTGAGATATTTTTCTGCAGTGATAACAATTAGATTCCTCAAAGTGTGTTTCAAAATGCTGGGCAGCTGCTGGGAGGGAAAGCCCTTGCTACAGGACACTTAAGATGAAGACAGAACTCCAGCCACACCTTCTGCTCATTGGTAAGGACTCCAGTAGCCTCTCACCTGAAGGTTAACTGTAGGCATGCAAAGAGACTGCTGTGTCCTGATCTCAGTTAGTTGCAGAGGGAAAATCTAATTTTTTCCCCTTCTTTCTTCCTGCTAAATTCTACCCATTGAAGACTCACCAAGAAAAACACTAGCTTCAACTTTCAGTAGTTCCTGAGTTCTTTAGAGAGGCTCAAAGATCAACCCCAGGAAAAATGTAATCAATAATAAGAAGCTATTCAGAATCTCTGCTTTTACTATGTATGAGATAAGCAACTCTCAGAATCTCTGCTTTTACTATGTATGAGATAAGCAACTCTGAGCTATGAAATGTCTTGTTTGACACTAAAACAAGGCATCACCCTAATGCATAAAGATCATGAGCAAGGCTCAAAATGGCTTTGGTTGGCTTTCCACAAAGCCCACTGAAATTGAAACGCAGACTCCAGTGCTGCTTCTCATCACATCATTCTGCAACTCAAAGTATCTGAGAGTTCAGAAACAACTTTAATCACAGCAGACACTCAGACATTTGCTGCGCTCTCTATCCTCCTCCATTTAGAAATACCATTGGGCAACTTCCCATTGCTGGGGATGTAAGCAGACTTTCTTGTTTCCAGCTCAAAAGTAATGGGGGTTATTTCACAGCTATACATACTGCTCTAATTGACAGGTCATGGGTGCATGGGATTTCCAAATTTCACTGTTAGCTCAGCAGCTTAACATCCCTACCTGCCCATAACCTGCCTTCCTCTTCATTTACTTCAGTCAGAGCACACTCATTCAAAAAGTTTAAATAGCTAAATGAGGCTCCTTTCATCTCCATCAGGGCGCAGATAATGAGCAGTTTCGCTGGCATATCTAGTCAGGGTTTTGCATTGCCTCCCTATGCAGTAACCTTCCTTGTGAGCTTGTGTTGAGGGCGAACCCTCAGACACCCAGAAGCAGGAGGCAGGCAGGTTGTGCCCATGATACATTCACAGAAATCCCTCCACCACGCACCAGAGAGGTCTGACACTTTCATGGCTGCCTTTCTCAGGCACAGAAGCAGTAACGAGCAGTCAGGTAATGGTATTGTCTTCCTTTCGCAAGCTGGCTGAGAGTGAACTTGTCTTAAATTAAAAAGGAGTGAGCAATATAGCTTGGCCAGCTATTTAAAGAAGAAATAATAAAAGACATCTCTGAAGAAACAACCAATGTATAGCCCAGCTGCTGCTCATTCCGTTACAGCTATTTTGAGGTTACAAGCTCTTTCGTGCAAGACTCAGATGGGAAGTTCACTTCTAACACAGTAATAGCTTTGAGCTATGATGAGGGTATTTTATCAGTGCTAGGCAATGTATGGACAGTTATCTAAGAGGAAGCAAGCTTTTAGCAAGCAGAACTTCTCTTTTTCTACTGCTTTAACAGAAACATTTGGAAGGCCTAGAGAAGTTATATTTTTAAATACTCTCTACCATCCACACTGAACACGCACTTTAAATTGCAGTTCAGGGGCACACAAACAGTAGTTGAGCCTCATTTCAGGATCCAACAAAGATAGCTGGAGGACAATGCTTAGCATGTTTTTGTTTTCCAGACAAAGGTCAGTGCAACACCGACTGTACATAGAAGGGCCTTTAGGTCAAAAAGATCAGAGAAAAATCAGACATCAGCCATATAATAACTTGCTCAAGGTTTAAATGCTCATACTGAGAGAGGATGAAGACAGCCCTGCTCTCTTAGGTTAGCTTTTGGCATCTAACTTGGGTGCTTCTACCAGCCCTGGATTGTCAGCAGAGTAACTGGAAAGCAGTTAACATCCCCAGAGCCCCCAGCTCAGGATGTGTGCCCCAGGCAGGCTTACCATCTGTGGCCCCAACCCCACAACCAGCTCAGTTGCCCACAAAGCATTATACCAAATCAAGGCTGCAGGGCACAACAGGAAGACAAGCAGCACCCAGGCTCAAAGAGCTTGCCATGCAAGTAGGGCAGTGGCTGCAGAAATAAAAGGCTCATCACTTACGGTATCTCCCAGTAGAGACCCCAAAAGCAGAAACTGCCAAAATCTGTGTCTCTGCTCAGATGCCATCCCTGGGATGCCACTGAAAGATGTCTTGCTCTGCATCTTCATCCATCCCACTTTACTGATCAGGACCCCTCCAAAGAAATCCCACCAGCTCATAAATGCAGTCACTCTTCTGAGTGTTGAGGTCCTGTCTTCTGAGCACAAAGCAGTGCCACTCAACTCAAAACCAGCTGTGGCCAATGTGTTCCCCACCAGAGCACAACCAATCTCTGCATGTCATAAGTTGGAACAAGCACTTAAACATGAGAGCTTCAGAGAACCATCAGCCATGTGGCACAGTACCTCTTCAGTGACATGATGGCCTAAGTACAGAGCTCTGCTGAGACCAACACATGCTTCCTCCCTGCTTAATAGGAGATGCCTTTCAGGAGGAGATGAGATTGATTACACCTTCAGCAGCCACCAGTCTCATTTCCTGTCTGGAACATGTGTATATCAATTGTGATCTAAGAAATGGATATCAAGCACTGAACCATGGCCAGAGAATCCTGCCTTTGTTTCAGGAATAAACATTATTCTCCCTATGCCGTGAGCCGGATTTAAGCCACCCTGTTACAAGAGAATGAATCTCTATTCATTATCAATATTCAAATTACCTACTGGCATGAGCAAGTTTCTTTTTCCTCTCTGCCATGGGTACACACAAACACAGATGCACACCACCAAAGCACATTTCTGCCACTCCTAGCAGCACCTGAGCATCAAATTTGCCATCAACAGACACAACAAGAAACACAGCAACGTGCACACGCAGATCATCAACAAAATTCAAATGTGCAAGGCCACCATCTTGCCTATGGGCCATTTTCTGCACAGAGGGCATCATAGAGGGATGGACAGAGCATGTACAGTCTGCTAGCCACCTCCTGTGCAGGCATCAGGTTTAATATTGCCATGGCAAGGCCCAGAGTCCTGAGCCTGGGGCAAACTGGTATCCTAAACACTTGATGAACAGGAAGAGCGTGGAAATGCTGTAGAGCTGCCAGGTCCCTCCCATAGTGACAGAAAGAAAACTGAGGGAATGTGTTGCCCTGATGTGCAACAAGTTGGCTTTATTCCCCAGCAAGCTGCTTAACAGCAGGAGCATCCCTAGAGCACCTGCAGGACCTTCAAGTGTGCACAAAACAGAAGACTTTGATGTTTGCTGTGACACTTCAAACCATTTTTCTGCTGCTACTACACAATGAGGAGGGCCTGTACGAGTTAGTGGAGATCTGCTATTTCACATTAGTTGAAAAAACATAAACTTCAGTTGCTAAATCACAGTTTTTCTCACATGACTACTCTATAGGATAAAACCTCTAATTAACTATATGGCAAATGCGATGGGAAGACTTCTGCTAATTATTTCTATGCCTTTAGGCAATAGAATAAAATCAATAAATACCAAGAAATTGATAGTTAAAAAACACTGGCAGCTTGCAGGGCAGGTAAATTAATTGTGTGGTGACAATGAGAACGCCTCCACAAGTCAGAGTGCAGGTGGAACCAGGCCTCAGGTGCTCATTGCCTGTCAAAATCTCCTCTACTTTCTTAATATGTCCCTGCCATGGGTCCCACAGCCTCCCCCTTCACGTCTCCCTGCAGCACTCAATACTTCTGCAATATCTGGAAGGCATTAATTAACTGTGCTGCAATGTTCAAGGCAGGAAGAATGACAAACAAGTTGCAAATGTGCACAGATGAAGCCCTCATTGAGGACTCTGCTAATATGTGCTAGCAATGCATGGAGCTCCTCCCTTGCTGTAACACACAAGAAAACTCCCCAGCCTCACATGCATTGTCAGTCACAGGCAGCACTAAGGGATGTTCTGGGCACTTCAGACTGTGCTGCGTGGAGCTCGTTACAAGCTACTGAGCTACTTTGCTGTGAAGCAAGGCTACCAAATATGGCCCCAAGAGGCAGCCTCAGACCAGAAGTTTTCATCCATCCCTGAAAACGTGGTGCTTGTCTTCTATGGTTAAAATCCTTCATCTGACATCTCCCCTCAACTGCATGATAAATACAGATAAATACAACTTTCTTGTATTTATCTGCTTCTATTTTGTTTTCAAAATTCAAGATATTCCTCATTGAAATAAGATATTCATATTATAATTAAGGTAACTGAGGAACAAAGAACTACAGAAATAATGTCCCAGCATGCAGACCAGAGAGTTCTACCACATAGCAAAACTTTTCTGAAGCAGAAAGTCCTTAGATCACTTTCTGTTATTCAAGAGAAAAGACTATGTTAGGAATTATACTGCTTTAACACTACAGGAACAGCCAAAAAGAGGAAAAATGATCTTACATACATTGACTTAACACTGCTCATTATTTCTCAGAGAATGAATTTCTGGATTCAGTTACACTTGTATGAAACTAGGGCTTGCAGTTGTGTACAGTTCTATAAACTCTTGTTAAGAATGTCTTCCTCCACACACAAGGAAAGACCAGATCTAAGTACTTTAAGCCAAGGCATTTCTAATTTAGGACCTTCTATTGTGCTGTGCTCAGTTCCATTATCAGAATTTGCATTTCCACGTCACTTGAAGTTTAAAGTTGGGCACCCAAAAACCAAGCCAATATAGGAGTTACGTATTTTGGAAAGCCTCAGTGTGTTAACTTCATTTGTAGGCCACAGAGTTAGCTTCATTGATCAGAAAGTGAGATAAAGATTTGAAAAACAAAACCACAATCGCTCATTAGCTATAAGCTTCTTCATATATGCTGTTTTAATTCAAATGTGAATTAGTCCGATCAGACGTGGAAATACAGCCCCAGTGCCTGGTGCTGGCAGAGCAGCTTTGTCTTCTAGGCTTCCCGTCAAGTCCTGTCCTGCCACGTTCCCATGCCAAGTTGGCAGGGACCAGTGTGCTGCCAGCAAATAAAGCTGGCTGCTGCACGAGAAGGTGCATGCAGAAGGCATGTCTGGCAAGTATGCTCTCATGACTAACATTTCGTTTCTGTGATAACACGCTAGGCCACCTACACAACTAGCCCTCTGAATAAACACTTCACTGCATGGGTTCCCATGAACAGACTGATGGGAGTGCTAGATAAACTGCTGCTGTCGCTCTCACAGTGGTTCACTAAGTCTGGACTATCCCCTAGATCTCACAGTGTTTTTGTAGCTGTTTTCCACTGGCATTGCTTGGTTCAATTAGTGCTACCACTCCATTACTGAGGTGCTAACTACTACTTGATACTTGTATTTGTATTGCTAACAAACGCTTTGGTCAATGTGTATGCCTCTACGGCCACACACTCCTCCAAGGGTGAGCATGCCCAGCAGCATGTGGCATGGTTGGCTTCCCTCCCTTTGCTGTCACAGTCACGGCCTTGCACCACTGGCAGAGTACCCAGTGGCCACACTGTCCAGACCCACAAGGACCATCTTTCCCCATCAGCCAGCCACCCTTTGCACAGCCCCAGCTTCTCCTGGCATCCCTACTATCACACTGTCCTCTAAGAAGGGGCTCAGCACATCACTGAGCTCCCAAAGTACCTACATGAACTAGGGACTAGTTACAGGAACTAGTTATAGCATAGTAGATGGAATAGCAATGTGAAGCCCCTTTCCATCAGATGACAAACACTCGTCTATTGAGCCACATGGGCCTTCCAAACCAAATGCTCCACAGCTCCCAGTTGGTGAAGCCTCTCTCCACTCCCTTTCCACCTTTTCTTTCCCTCCACAATGTCTCAGACCAATATGTATAGAAAGGCATATCCCATGTGTCTTTTCTGTCATCACATACCAACAAAAGCATTTACAGCTTCCAAATCTTCAACAACAGAAATTCCCTGGCTTTCAAATAGAAGATTACAGGCTTGTTCACAAAAGTGAATTTACATCAAAGCAAGTCTTTGGCATGATCGCATTTACCAGCACGAAAGAGGCATATCCAGCTGTTGGCTTTTCCACCAGCACAAGTCATTGCTTTCATTTCCTCTGCATTATGCTGTCATGCCTGGAGGGTAAGTAACCACTGCTCCTAGGACCCGAGCACTGTGGGATCACTTCTGCAGCACATGACAGGCAAGCTGGAAAAAAGCCATATAAAAATCACTGTATCTCACACAAGGGGTCACACCTCTGAAAGAGAAGGATCTCAAAGCCCACCCTCACTAGGTAATGGGAAAGGAAAACACTGGGAAACTCTGCACAGAGCAGGAATGGGACAACTAGCACTATGATCACATCCACGAACAGAATCATGCCATCATCACTTACATGGCAGAAGCATATCTCTGAAGTGTGTCATGTATTTGGGAAACCTTCCAGGAGTTTGGGAACATCAGAATCCCAGCATCATCTGGACAGGCAGGCAGATAACCAAGGCCAGGAATGACAGAGGGACCAGCCCTGGAGAGGAAATCGACAGGAGCAGCTTTCTAGTAGGATTTCCCAATGCCTGCTATTGCCAGGAAATTAGAGGTTGGTTGGGGTGGCTGGAGGCCAGTAAGGCACTGGGTCGTCTGGGTATCCCTTAGTCATGGGTGATTGCTGAGGCCAGGCACTGTGCAGAAGTCTGGGTAGACCACCACAGCAGCCACTGGCAGCTTTATTTCTCAGAGATTTTCAAACCAGAACCATCTCATCTCTTTCTTGTTTGTACGAGGAGCCTCCTTCACCCCATATCTTTAATTAAGAGGGTTGCATGCTGGTTTTGGTTTTCTTTACTGTGTGGTAGCTTTTATCTAACAAGTATATGTAAAAAGTATGCCTGGGGAAAATCATATTCATGGGAACAAACTTTACAAAGCTACTTTAACCCGGCTGCTTTTTTAAGAAGCACCCCAGGGCAATCCCTTGAAGATATTTATGCTGCTATGGTGAGTTAAAGGCTTCTGAAGACTCCCACCAGTCTCTCTTCCCTTTATTACCCTAGGTACAAGCACTGGGAAACGCCACTGTCCCTTTTCTCTCAGACTAGGGCATTCATGACAAGCTGCTTGGAAGCAGAAAGATGAGCTCCACCCTG